AGAGTCTGTCGCCCAGGCCAGAGTGCAGTGACACATTCATGGCCACCGCAGCCTCGACCTGCTGAGCTCAGGAAGGAAGATCCTTCCACCTCAGCCTTCCAAGTAGCCGGCATGTGACACCATGCCCAGCTAATTTAAAAAAATTTTTTTATTAATTGTAGAGATGAGGTCTCACCAAGTTGCCCAGGCTGGTCTTGAATCCGTGGGCTCAGGCAATCCTCTCACCTTGTCCTCCCAAAGTGCTGGGATTATAGGTATTAGCCACTGTGCCTGGCCTAGCTTCTCTATTTTTAATACTGATCCCTGATCTTTGCTCTTCTCCTTAAGAGAAACCGCTTTCTTTCTTTCTTTTATTTTTTTTTTTTTTTTGAGTTGGAGTCTCACTCTGTCGCCCAGACTGGAATGCCGTGGCCGCTCCCGGCCACCGCAGCCTCGACCTGCCGGGCTCCGGCGATCCTTCCGCCTCAGCCTTCCAAGTAGCTGGAACTACAGGCACTCGCTACCATACCTGGCTAATTTTTTATTTATTGTAGAGACGAGGTCTTGCCAAGTTGCCTGGATGGATCTCGAACCCGTGGACTCAGGCAATTCACTCGCCCCAGCCTCCCAAAGTGCTGGGATTACAGGCTGAGCCAGCAAGCCCAGCCAGGAAACCCCCTTCAAACCGTGTTTTTCCTCTGCTCTTACACAACAGTCTCAACATAGAAGACTTCTGTGACCAAAAGTTTGCAATTTCTCTGTACACACCAAGGAGCGGACACCAGTCAGGTGTCCCCTGACTCAATTCTGACACTGTCTACTCAGAGAGAGTGTCAGATCCCACGGGTTGAAGGCTCAGTCCCACAAGACCGCTCCCTCTTTCTCACCAGTCACAATTTGAGGCCTCCAGAACTTCCAAATGATCAGCTTCAAGTTGGGGTTCCCGTTGCCCCTTTTCAGGTTTGATTAATTTGCTAGAGCTGTTCACAGAACTCAGGGAAACTTACGTTTAGCAGCTTATTAGGAAGGAATTTTGTTTTGAGTCGGAATCTCACTCTTTTCTCCCAGGCTGGAGTACAGTGGCACGCTCACAGCCACCGCAGCCTCAACCTGCTGGGCTCTGGCAATCCTTCCACTTCAGCCTTTCAAGTAGCTGGAGCAACAGGCATGCACCACCATGCCCAGCTGATTTGTCTTTTTTTTTTTTTCTTATTGTAGAGGTGAGGGCCTGCCATGTTGCCCAGGCTGGTCTCGAACCGATGGACTCAGGCAATCCTCTAGCATCCACCTCCCAAAGTGCTAGGATTACAAGCGTGAGCCACTGTGCCTGGCCTGGTGGACGAAGAATATTTTAAAGGCTACAAAATGACCAGCTGGATGGAGAGACACACAGGGCGAGGTCTGGAAGGGTCCCAAGCACAGGAACATCTGTCCCTGTGGAGTTGGGCACATCACCCTCTCAGTTCCTGGACAAGCTCTTCTTCATCTCCCTGGCATCCCTCCTGAAGCCCCCAAGCACACTATTCTCTAGGCCTTTTTTGGACACTTCACTGGTTGTCCATGATTGAAGCATGGACAACGGTATCAAAATGCGATTAGATAGCAAGCCTGTAATCGCAACCCTGCAGGGCCTGCCTGTTGGGATTCTTCTCGGCCTCTCTGTGCGGGATTCCTCTCTCCAGAGTATGGGGCAAGACGCACTCTGGAATGCGGGCCTTGTGACTCAACATCAGATTAGAGACCTGCCTTGGGCAGCTAAAACGAGGGCAGGGGAAGATCAGGAGAGTGTGTCCTGAGACCTGAGGCAGTCCAGCATTAGAACAAAAGACTGTAAGGAGAGCCATGGAAGTGTGAGCCAGGAACAATGGATGAAAACCTAGATATGTGCATACATCAGGGGTGCCAGAAAATGAACACACATCCTTGCTTTGTTTTGTTTGTGTCGGAGTCTTGCTCTGTTGCCCAGGCTGGAGTGTGGTGGCACACTCAAGGCCACCGCAGCCTCGACCTGCTGGGCTCCGGTGATCCTTCCGCCTCAGCCTTCCAAGTAGCTGGAACTACAGGCGCGCGCTACCACGCCCAGCTATTTTTAATTTTATCGTAGAGATGAGGTCTTGCCAAGTTGCCCAGGTGGGTCTCGAACCCATGGGCTCAAGCAATCCACTCGCCTCAGGCTCCCAAAGTGCTGGGATTACAGGCTGAGCCACCGAGCCCGGCCCGTACACACATCTTAAGTGATGTTATCTATGGCTTGCTTTTCAAAGTTGAATTATGGTAGCCCTGTGTAGTATGACGTTTAGTCAGCCGTGCTTCCATCATTTTTGACCGTCCTGCCTGTCTCATGGTGATGCTAGTATTCATTTGATTAACGCCATCTTTTGAGCCAACATCATACTTAAAATGAGTACGCATTGTTTTGTTCCCCCCCATATATTCATCCCATCACGCCTTCCAAATCATTTACTTTCATGTCCTCAGCAGCAAACTCTGGTAGCTGTGATTGCCCCTGTAGGAAAGAGACCTACTCAGGGAATCGGCCAACAGCTGCCCAGTGGCCACATGGGAGGCCACACCTCCTGCTTACAACCCTTTCTCTCACGGCTGACCAGCAGCCGGAACAGTCAGGTATTCCAAGCAGTGGTCTCAGAGCAGGGTGGGGAGCGGGCTAGCCACTTGCAGGAGGGCTTGGCCTTGAGATTGCCTGGCAGACATAACAAGGGATGGGGGCCCAGGGGATGGGGCGGGGCCAAGCAAGTGATATCCAGGACAGAGACCAAGCCCCAGTCCTCCCCACACCATGGATCGCACCGTGGTGCTCATCACCGGCTGCTCCTCGGGCATCGGCCTGCACCTGGCGGTCCGTCTGGCGTCAGACCCTTCGCAGAGCTTCAAAGGTACGGAAGGGCCGGTGCCAGAAGTGGGGAGCTCTCCAAGGGAAGCAGGGAAGTCAGATCTTCATCCTCTCCCCGCACCTCCAGTGTATGCCACCCTGAGGGACCTGAAGGCCCAGGGCCCGCTGCGGGAGGCGGCCCGGGCCCGGGGGTGCCCTCCCGGCTCTCTGGAGACGTTGCAGCTGGACGTGAGGGATGCCGCTTCTATAGCCGCCGCCCGGGCCAGCGTGACTGAGGGCCGTGTAGACGTGCTGGGTGAGCCTCCCCAAACACATGTGCTCCTCGGAGTCTTCTCCCCGCGACGTCCAAACCAGGATGTCCCGAGGCCCAGGGAGCACGAGGCTGAGGGCGGTGCGGGAGGCCGCTGGGGTCAGACCTGTCTCCCGCAGTGTGCAACGCGGGCCGCGGCGTGCTGGGGCCGCTGGAGGCGCACGGGGAGGGCGCTGTGCGCTCGGTGCTGGACGTGAACGTGGCCGGGACGGTGCGGACGCTCCAGGCCTTCCTGCCGGACATGAAGAGGCGCCGCTCGGGGCGCGTGTTGGTGACCGGGAGCATGGGGGGCTTGATGGGTGAGTGAGGGGGCGCGCGGAGCCCAAAGGCAGGCTCCGCGGAGGAGGGCCGGGGCTCGGCGGGGGCGGGGCCTGACGGGAGCCGCCTCTCGCGGCTGATCTGTCCCTCGCCCGACGGCCTTCCGACCCCTCTCCCCTCCAAGGGCTGCCCTTCAACGCCGTTTACTGCGCCAGCAAGTTCGCGATCGAAGGCTTATGCGAGAGTCTGGCGGTCCTGCTGCTGCCCTTCGGGGTCCAGTGAGTCACCACCCCGCTCTCCGAACCCTCTGAACCACGACTTAGGGAACTCGAACCCCCACCTCGTTGGGCTGCTCTCGGGCGGGCTCACATGTGCAGTGTGCCAGGCACCGTGCTGGGCGCTTGGCACGCGTGAGGCCACCCCACATGCCGACCTAGCTGTGAGGAGACGGTGTTATGAGGACGCTCAGGCCCAGAGAGGCTAGAAAGACCTCGCCCAAGGCCATACAGCGATAAGTGACCCTGCCAGTTAGAACTCTGACGCCAGAGACTCCCTCACTGCCTCAGATGAGTGTGGAATCTCTTTTCGGGCAGTCAGTCCCTTTTCTTTTTTTTTTTTGAGTTGGAGTCTCACTCTGTCGCTCACGGCCACCGCAGCCTCGACCTGTTGGGCTCAGTTGGTCCTCCCGCCTCAGCCTTCCAAGTAGCTAGGACTACAAGTGCACGCCACCACGCCGGGTTAATTTTTTGGTTTATTGTAGAGACGAGGTCTCACCAAGTCGCCCCGGCTGGTCTCGAGCCCCTGAGCTCAGGCAGTCCCAAAGTGCTGCCTCCCAAAGTGCTGG